GTCTTTCTTTTAAAACTATTCTTGTCTACACTTATCTCCGCTATGAATTACCCCAGTGTCTAGAATACGTTTGGAAAAAAAAAAAAAAAGACAATAAGTAAAACATTTAAGAATTGTTCCTTATTCATAAGATTATATTTTCTCCCAAGTGTCTCATATTTCTGTCTCACTGTTCTCACTGTTGTAGAGTTTATTCACCAGGTTTGTTTTCACTCCCAAGAAGTTGGGTGGGTGATATTTATTCACTCTGCTAACAAGTAGTAGAATGAGTTTAGACTTTTCAGCCATGCTGAGAAGGTCATCAATAACTATGAAGTTAGTGGTTCCTCCAGAATAAGCAGATCCCAGGGATGCAGTGTATTTTGTGCAGTCTCTGAGACAGCAAAGTCACGGCCACTCCGGCTGATCCTTGGTATTTTCTCCATTAGTCACAAAGGTACTGTAAGTGTTCAGCCTTGCCTCGCATCCATGTTGTACATCATTTTGGCCAAAATAGTGTTTCACGTAGAACAGTTCCTGATCTATCTTTAAAAGTCATCTTTAAAGAGAAGTGAATGCTACATTATTATGTTATATACAGAAAACGATCAGGAAGGAGGAGCTCATTTAAGAAAAGGGCCAGCAGAAGAGCTCGGACAGTAGGGTTCGGGCAGCAGCTCTTTGCCAACCACTGTGAGCAAACTGTTTCAGTATTTCACTGACTGTTGTGGTATTATCAACATTTTTACCCACAATCCCAACAAAAGTCTTTTTGGTTTTTTGTTTGTTTTTTTAGGTTGCTCCACTGTGCCTCGGAAGAGCTGGAGCTTGCGTTGTGACTGTGAAACTATAACTCAGTGCTTGTTTTTCTAAATGAAGATATCCTCTTCCTTTATGAATTTAGTATAATTATTCTACTATCAATGGATAACATTTTTAGTAAATTTGCAACGCCACATTCCTGGGCACAAAGTGCCTGATCTCTAAATGAAGATGTTAAAACACGGGAGGAAAGAGCAGAAGAACCAGGATTAAAAACTTTCACTTCTTAGGAAATCAAAACTGCATCTGGTGGATTGTGAATGTATGTTCCTGATATATAAACTATGATGACAATGTGCACTACTCCTAACACAACCCAGGGTTAATTGGGAATTTCATTTCTTTTAATAATCAAGCACATTTTCCTGATACTATTATCCGTATTTCTTTTATTATAGTGCAGATACATCTGATAAAACTTCTAATGTATTGCTTTGTAACTTTATCATACATGAGTTGTAGTAATTTTTATTCATTTGTTTGCTTAACCACGACCACTATTTTAACGATATACTAAAGACTATGCATTTAGTTTTTTTCAGGAATAGCTGAATTTTCTGTGCTTTGGTTGTGGACTTTTATTTCTAAAATTTCTAAGTGAATCAATTTAATGAACATTAAAGAGTTAGAACAATGACCAAATAAAAGCTTGTTTTGATCTTTGGGGTCTATTTAAATATTCATTCCATCTAGATTCATCAAGAGCTCCGTATTATGATGTTCTTCCTTTGGAACTGAAACAAGATGTTTAACATTAAATTCAAGATATGCAAATTTTGTGGAGAAAATAAATGCTATCTACCCTCAAAGGTTCTTTCACCTAAGTAGTATTTAATTATATGAATTTGTTTTCTTTTATATTATTAAAAATGCTTCGATTTTGTCTTTTTATATTGAAGAACTGTTTGGATATTCTTATGTTCTCAAGTCTGTATGTGCCTCTCCTGCCTTGTTTCTGATCTCTTGCCAGAATTAGTAATCCTTTGTGCGTCTTTGTAGTCAAACAGTTTGCGGGGGATAGGCTTACTGAATGTTTGGAAAATGAGTTTAAAGTGTTTATTACCCCAACTTTTGTACATTTGTAAACTCTTAATTACACATGTGAATGTTAATACTCTCAGTGAATTATTTATTGTTTGCACAAGTGCACTGGGCAGTATTATTTTATGATAACTTTAGGGTATAAGTCATTAACTTATATCTTAATATAAAAAGAGTATAAACTAAATTCTCACCTTTTAAAAGTTCATATTGTGGTTAATGTGTCTTTACATTCTGTATCAGTGTAGCCTTTATTTTAGTTGCTTCCTTTAAAAATTGAGCTTTTCTTTTTTTTTTTTGAGCTGATTTTGAATACTCATGAAATTTTTCTACCTTTGAAGTCAACAAACTTAGGACTTCTATTCTCAAAGAAAATTCCATGGGCATTCTACTGGCATGGGTACTAAGAAAATAGCAGTGATCATGACAAACATATTATTATTTCATATATTCATTGTAGTGTGTATATGAATTCAGATATTTTCCTCACAAGGAGGGATCAGCTGTAGAGTATGTATTTAGTAAGAGAGAGAAGAGGAAAAAGGTATAAGAAACAAAACAAAAATTTCAAAAGCAGAAATGTGCTAGTACATCATCCCTTCATGTGGAGGCTTAGGCCTGGATTTGAAAGGAAAGTACTTACCCTTGTGATTACCTCTCATCTCAATTCGTCATTCACTCTCTCGTTCCCTGGGCCTGCAGTGGAGTCAGACGCACCTTAAAGTAAAGGACCTGATTCTTTTCCCTGAGGACCTTCCTTTCCTTTATGGGATTCATTAGAACAGTTGCTTTGATTTTCTGTCCCGCTGGAGGGCCTTTCTTAATGGAGTTTTGTAGTCAATAGGACCTGCTCTTCTGGATACAAATGAAGAAAACCAGTTTCTTTTCTAGTGACAGAGCACTTGCCGAAACATTTACTCTTCTCTTAGACTGGGGTCTTGTAAATCTAGAGGAAAATATGGCCATTCTTTGTATGCGTCATCCAAGACTGCCGTCTTAACTTTTACTGTTAGCTTCTCCATTATCCCAGTGAGCATCTCATCCAGCTGCTCTTTATTTTAGCCCCAATTAATGACCACCTTAAGAAAGATCAGGATATTTGTGAACTATTGAATACTTATGAATTAGGAGCCAAGTTTTTTGCATGCGTTAATGTACTTAATTGTTCCCCTTTTATTATTCTCCTTACTCAGATGAGGAAACTGGGCATGGAGAGTTTAACCCCAAGATTATATATAGCAAGTTAGTGGCAGAGTAGGGATTCAGGTGTAGGAAGTCTGGCTCAGGAGTCCATTCTGTTAGAACTCCTGCTTCTAGGTAGAAAAGAAGTTTCATTTCATGTGAGACATCATTTAATTTAAAAAAACTTTATTTTAAATAAATCATTTATTTTAATTTAAAAGAATGTTAATGCTTTAGAAGTAAAATTTATCAGTTATACTCTTAACAGAAAATTTTGGTTCCTTAATATTGGAGGGATATTTTATTTAAATAAAACTCATGGAATTTTATATACATTTTGCTTTAGAAAAGTAAATTAAGTAAGCATACTTCCAAGTTTTATGAATATTAGATAAATTTCATGGTATTTTGGATGGCTCAATCATAAACAAATCAAAAACACGCTTTATGGGACTTCTCTGTTGGTGCAATAGCTAGGACTCCACATTCCCAGTACAGGGGCCCAGCTGCAGTCCCTGGTTGGGGTCCTGAATCCCACCTACCACAACTCAAGATCCTGAATGCTGCAATGAAGATCAAAGATCTCACATTTCACAACTAAGACTCGGCACAGCCAAATAATAAGTAATTTTTTTTAAATGTTTTATGGCCAACAAAATAGATAACATACATGAAAGAGATGAATTTCTGGAAATACACAAATCACTAAAACTGACTTAAGAAGAAATAAGTCTAAACAGATCTAACAAGTTAAGAATTGACTCAATCATCAAAACCTCTCAACAAAGAAACTTCAGAACCAGAATTTGGTAGACTTCACAAGTTTATAAGACCAGCATTACCTTGATACCTAAGCCAGGCAAAAGCAGATTTTATACCATTACAAACTAAGAATTTATTGCAAAAATACAGGGGTAGTTCAAATACAAAAATCAATCAATGTAATTTACCACATAATAGAATGAAGAGAACTCAGCTAGAAGAAACTACAACAGTGACATGAAAATAAAGCTTTTCATTATTAAAAAAAAGATTAGCATCTCAGTTGATAAGAAAAAGCATTTGACAGAAATCAATATCCTTTAATGATAAAAGCACTCAGCAAACTTGGAAAAGAATGAAATTTCCTCAACCTGTTAAAAAACATTCATGAAAAACCCAGTTAACCACACAATAAATGATAAAAGATTAAAAGATTTTCCTCCAACATCAGGAAAATGTCCACTCCCACCATTCCTAGTCAACATTGTACTCTAGCCAAAGCAATTAGGCAAGAAGGAAAGAAAAGGAACCGCAATTAGGAAGAAGTAAAATTCCATTTGCAGCTGTTTTGATCCTATATATTAAAAATCCTAAAGAAAACACATAAACGCATAACTATTAGAGCTATCATTAATGTTACAAGGTCAACACACAAATGTTAGCTGATTTCTATATACTGGCCAAAAGTGTAAAACACTTAGGAATAAATCTAACAAAGGAGGTGTAAGGCTTGTACACTGAAAAGTACAAAACATGGCTGAAATGAAGACCTAAGTAGGTGGAAAGACATGTTCATAAATTGGAAGGCTTAAGATGGCAATACTCCACAAATTAGTCTATAGATCCAATGCAATCCCTGTCAAAAATCTAACAGCCTTTTTTGCAGAAATGGAAAAGCCAATTTTAAAATTCCTGTGAAATTTCAAGGGACCAAAAAGAGCGAAAACAATTGTGAAAAAGAATAGCAGAGTTGAAGGACTTTCTTATATCAAAATTTATCAAAACAGTGTAGTACTGTTACAAGGATAAACATATAGACCAAAAGCCTAAAATAGAAAGTCCAGAAATAAACTACCGTCAATATCTTATGGTCAGTTGATTTTCAGTAAGAGTGCTAAGACCATTCAATACAGAAAACAGTCTCTTTAACAAATGATGCTAGATGCATGCATGCATGCTGTCATACCCGATTCTTTGCCACCCTATGGACTAGCTCACCAGGCTCCTCTGTCCATGGGATCTCCCAGGCAAGAATACTGGAGTGGGTTGCCATTTCCTCCTCCAGGGAATCTTCCCGACCCAGGGCTCAAACCCACATCTCCTACTTTGCAGGCAGATTCTTTACTGCTGAGCCACTTGGGGATTCCCAAGTGCAAAAGAATGAAATTGGACCCTTCCTTTACAACATACTGTTGTTTAGTCACCAAGTCATGTCCAACTCTTTTGTGACCCCATGGACTGTAGCCTGTCAACTTCCTCTGTCCATGGGATTTCCCAGGCAAGAAGACTGTAGTGGGTTGCCATTTCCTTCTCCAGGGGATCTTCCTGACCCAGGATGAACCCAAATCTCCTGCTGGGCAGGTGGATTCTTTACCTCCAGGCCACCTGGGAAGCATGTTCTGTGCTGTCCTCAGTCGCTCAGTCGTGTCTGACTCTGCGACCCCTTGGACTGTAGCCCACCAGTCACCTCTGCACATGGGGGTTCTCCAGGCAGGAATACTGGAATGAGTTGCCATGCTCTCCTCCAGGGGATCTTCCCAACCCAGGGATCGAACCCAGGTCTCCCGCATTGCACGCCACTTCACATCCACTATGATGACTATAATTTTAAAAACATAAAGTGTTGGGGAGGATGTGGAGAAATTACATAGTGAAGAAAATGGTAAGCCAAGGTGGGGCTTCCAACATCAAGAAAGTTATTGAAAGAAGACAGAGGATGAATAACTGAGTCTCTGGGTCTGAGGCTTTGCTGGTGGCCCAGATGGTAAAACGTCTGCCTACAATGTGGGTGACCCGGGTTCAATCCCTGGGTCGGAAAGATCTCCTGGAGAAGGAAATGGCACCCCGCTCCAGTACTCTTGCCTGTAAAATCCCATGGATGGAGGAACCTGGTAGGCTACAGTCCATGGGGTCGCAAAGAGTCGGACACACTGAGAGACTTTACTTTCACTTTCACTTTCTCTTTCCGGGCCTGAAGACAAGCAGAGCATCTCTTAGGTTTTGAAGCATTTAAATGTAATTAGGCTAAATCTCATGTTTTATTAAATTTCTTCAGACTGAGCCTTTTGTTTACTGAAATATAGGAAGGTTGAGTCAATTTGATTGTGTGGCAGATACATGCTAAGCATGTCATATATATGTTCATACATTTAATCTTTACAATAGCCCTATGAAGTAGATCTGATTATTTCCACTTAGTGATGACTTCTCTGTGGAAGAGGTTAGAGAAAGTAAATGGGGCATGGAAAGAAATGCTGAAAACTTTGGAATGAATAGCATATTCTTTTACACATGAACTAGGAAGATAAAAAGGCATTTTATACTCAGGGCCAGCCCTAGGATTTGAAAGACCTGATGTAAGCAGTGTAAGGGCCTTAGCTCTGCTGTACTAGTGGTCCTCCTGTGAACATGAGTATCTTCCAGAAGAAATCTAATGGCAGGACTTGGGCCTCTGACCACTCCTGCCCTTAAGTCTGATCCTGTGTGTTTATCACAGACTGTTCTATTGTAACAGTTACATTACTTCTCTATAATTCCATGCTTTCAGAAGATTGTTTCTGAAACAGTAACGTTTCCCTAGGTCCCAAATGTATCCCATTGCTTGGCATTTTTAAACACTCTCAGAATGTATTGATACCTTTTTTGAAGAAAAATTCACCTGTCTGGCATGTTTTCAAGAAAAATCTTGAAGTCTGCAGCTACTTAAGACAATATTCACATCTCTCAACCCTACTAGTCTTGTTTTTCCTATTCTCTTTTTATTTTCCTTAATTTCTTTCCCTCCCTCTTCTACCCTTTTAGAGAAAGCATTATCTTCGATCGTTTACCCTTGGTGCACAAGTCCATCCAGAAGTTTTTAAATCATTAATAGTAATTATTGAAACAAGGGATACATTTTAATCACTGCATGCTCCCTAAATACCCAATTTTTTTAATAAGTTCAAATCCCCAAATACAGTATATCCTTAGGTGTATTCAGAATATAGGTAAGTCAGTTTCTACCTAAGGTTCTTTATGAAACAAAATGCCTGATCAGGTGATTAAGTAGATACAATAATTGTTTTATGACAAGCTTTAATTTAAGTTCAGAAAAGCTAGTTTTGTTATATCAAGAAAATAACATTAACTATAAAGATTCAGTGTTTGTTCATAGGTTTTTCTTTTAATTAAGGCCAAATTCATATAATAGTAATCATTTTAAAGTGAACAATTCAGTAGTAGTTAGTATATTCATAATGTATTAACTACCACCTCTATCTAATTCCAAAACATTTTCATTCTATCTAATTCCAAAACATTTTCATAAGCCCAGAAGAAAACCCCAAGGCCAGTTAGTTAGTGCCCTACCCGACCCTGTTTCCCCAGCTCCTGGCAAACACCAGTCTGCATTCCATCTCTGTGACCTTATCTGTTCTGGGTATTTCATGTAGAATCATATGACATGTGGCTCTTTATGTCAGGCTTCTTTCACTTAAGATGTATTCAAGATTCATCTATATTGTAGCATGATGTGTATCAACACTTCATTACTTTATACTGATGGAATAATATTCCACTATGTGTATACCAAAATTTGCTAATCCATTCATGGACATTAGAGTTGTTTCTGCCTTTTGACTAATGTGAATAGTGCTGCTACGAACATATGTGTACAAGAATTTGTTTGAATCCCTGTTTTTAATTCTTTGAGATATAATACCTAGGAGTGTGATTGTTGAGTCATGGTAATTCTATGTTGAACTTTTTAAGGAACCATCAAGCTGGTTTCCAGAGGAACAGAGTGAGCATAGGTTTTTTAGCAGAAGTAGCTACCCATCTTCAGGAACAAAACAGGCTTCCCATCTGCTTCTTTACATTTGGCATACTCTAGACCAATGGTCCTCAACTCTGTGCACCACAGAATTTAAAGAGAGAGAGAGAGAAGGAAAGAAAGAAAATGTAGGCTTCATCTCTAGAAATTTTGTTTCAATAAATCTGGGTTGAGCCTAAGCTACTGTAAGTGAGCCCCAGCTAATTCTAATGGCAGTAAGGATTAAGAACTACAATATGAACTCAGGGGAAGTAATGCAAAAACTTTCTCCAGAGAATAGGAATCATTAACTTGTCATGGACCCAGAACTAATTTTAATTTATTAATTTCCTTGGCTGTTTTATTCACAGTCAAATATCTGCACCTAGAATCATGCTTGGCACAGAACTGGACAAAAATAATTGGCTTAATGTTGAATATTCAATTATATTTTAAGCTTAAAATTAATCATATATAATAGCTATTAATTTTTAAATGACATTAATATTTTTAGCTACTACTAGTCCTTAGGAAACCAAAGGGAACTGTGCTCAATTTAGGATCCCCTGATCAGATATTATTTTTGAATATACCATCTTTCCCTAGTTATTGTCATGCTTATTAGACTTTCTACATAATATTGATAGAAAATTATTTATTTGCTCTAATGGGCATCATTTTAAAGTTTGGAAGTATAAACAATAAATTGAAGGCAAAATATAAGATGATCAAACAATACTGGCATTTACTGGAAATGTTGTATACAGTAAAAGTTTTCTGTATCATATCTATTTATTTAAAAAATCTGAATTCCACCTAAATTTCCTAGTTTCTTTGTCTGTACTTAGTATTAAATGTCATTATTTTCCATCCCCAGTCCCATGCTATGCCTCTTTCTCTTCACCATGGAAACTCTCCTCTCTCATTTTCTCTTTCTCTGGAAAAACATTTCTCTGATATTTTAACAAGTTAGGTTATTTTTCTCAATATCCTTTTGACAAACTTCAAGCTATTTTTTGCCAGTTTTTATAGCAGATTCTGACAAATATTTTTCATAATGTCATACTTTAACAAATAAATTAGACGTTCCTGAAGATTGCTAGCTTCAGGATAGCATATTTAAGAGATTATTTATTTATACTTAAATAAGCAATAAATTTTAAGTTCTATAGTTTTTTAAAATAGTTCTGTGCACTCTAGAATTACCCCCTCCTATAGGTTGTACAGTGGATTGGCTAACTCTTCAGTAGCTCTTTCCCAGCAAGTGGACACCAGATCTTTTCCCAGATGAACAGGCTTAATCATGTCCCTAGTTCTTAAATTTTAGAATGAGACACTGTATTTCCCTCCTTTCCCAAATACTCAGTTCAATTCAGTCACTCAGTCATGTCTGACTTCTTCGCAACCCCATGCACTGCAGCATGCCAGGCTTCCCTAGTTTTTTTTTTTTAATCCACATTTAAAAGAAACGGTTTTATTACAGTAATGGGACTCAGTGGTATGGAGCACCACACGCCTTGAGAGGACATCCTCCCGTAAGTGAGCACCAGCGTACAACTACACAACTTCCCCACTAACCCTTATTAACGACACCTACTTAGCCTGCTCCTGAGACTGCTGAGAGTCTTCTATAACAGGGGTCCCCAACCCCTGGGCCAGCTGGTCGATGGCCTGTTAGGAACCAGGCCACACAGCAGGAGATGAAAAGACGGTGAACAAGGGAAGATTCATCTATATTTATATCCACTCCCCATTGCTTGCATTACAACCCGAGTTTCACCTCCCACCCTCTCTGTGGAAAAACTGTTTTCCATGAAATCTGTCCCTGGTGTCAAAAAGGTTGGGGACAGCTGTTTTACAACACACTGTGAACACTTCAGTCTACTGTAGAACCGTCTAAAGGAACCTCCCTCTTCTGGCAGGAGGGACATCTCAGCTGAAAACCTGCAAATGGGGTCCTGGGCTTGTTAGCGCCAAACATGCAGGTCTCCCATCCGCCCCCCAGCATTCCTGGAAAAGTGCTGCACTCCAGAGAAATCCTGCACCACTGCAGAGGCGGCCACTCTGGAATGGGGAAGAGGCTAAAAGAAATCAGACCTAAACTTCATCACGAGTATCCGAGGTGCCCGTGGACCTTCCTCCTGGACGAGGTCTGCAGACCCTTCGGCTCTTCTTTCTGGCACCTCACCTACAGGCTGCACCTGGACTGAGTGGGCAGCCGTCCTGAGAGCCCGCAGGGCCTCGCGCCACTTGCTTCTATCTGAGCCCTGTCGTCCCCAAAGAGTGCATCAGCTGCCTCTTCCAGGGCAAGGGGTTTCTCTGGCTGCACAGGGTTTGGATTTTCCCAAGAGCTGGTTCTTTCTGCTTATGGGTGGGTCTCTGCATCTTCAGTCCCAGCTACAGCTTTTCCATGCACCAGGCCAGTTCCCAAGCCAGCTGCTCAGCCTGGGCCTCTGCGCTTAGGGGGGTTTCCTCCAGGGCCTGCTTTTCTGAGGTCTTCCCACCTCCATTGGCAACAGACGCCTAATCCCGGGTTTTCTTCTGTTGCTTCTTGGTCCTCAAGACAGTGTCATGGCACGTAGGGCACCCTGGGCCTGGGGCTGCCACTGTCTCCTGAGCAGGATGTCCTGGAGCCACCATGTGCTGCCACCGGGACCGAGGAGGGCTGGGGTCCCTGGTTACCCTAGTGATGGGAGTCCATCACCAACTCCCGGAACTTGCTCAAACTCATGTCCATCCAGTCTGTGGTGCCATCCAACCATCTCATCCTCTGTTGCCCCC